ACTGTAGTATTTGAGACCATCTGGCCTATCCAAGTTGAATCGCTTCTCGTCCAACCATATAATGTCGGACCAGGCAGGTGGCTCGGCCAGATTCTTTTTGGCATACGCCAAACGCTCTTCCTTGTGCCGTCGTTTAAGAGGAACGGCATGTGCTTTCGCTTGCTGTACACCATGATTGACGATGACTGCAATCGTCGCTGGCATGTCCTCAACGAGGCTTTGATGTCCAGGCAGGTCTCGAGGCCTCGTGCTGACAAACCAGTCTTTGAAGCCTCTCGAATGAGGAGCCGCTCTTCGAGGCCAACCAGAACAGTGGCCTTTCTGCCCTTGTAGTACGTGCCATAAGCTCTCTTCTGCGTCAACGCTGTTCTAATGGCCTTGGTGGACCTTCCGACCTCTTTTGCGACACCCCTGTGGCTAAAACAGTGCCTGTGTAGGGCAATTATCATTCCTCGCTCCATGTCCGAGAGGAGCGTCCCGTGGCCCATACGTCGCTTGCGGATGCGTTCGTTGACAGTGTCTAGGTCATTAATAAGCATTTATCAATTCTTTGCAGCCTTGGCTTGTGAATTTGACTACCTTATTGACCGGAACTTTGTGTAGGTCTAATTCTCTGGCGCGGTTTACTGGCCGGGAAAATCGATTGTGAGTGATTTTAAGTGATGCTCAGGAGAAATGGCGGCAAATCGTATATCAAATGATCGTCCAATCATTAGCTTTCAATCAATGCAATTCCTTTTTCTCAAATTTCTATTTGTCAAAATTTATCGATGAAAAACTGTACTACTCTGTTCCACAAAATTTGTCATGTTGTACTTTTGATTGGCGGCATTTTTCTAATAATACTCCGATTGAGTGTCTGATTGGCGTTCTGGAGAGCGCAAGAACTCTGCTTTGATTGGGTAGTTTACAGCCCATACCAGCCATTGTGGTTGTTGAGATATTGCGCGGCAAAACTTCCGGGTCATGGACAGCTAATACAAAATGACCCGCCAGCACTTCATTCTACATTTCATCGGATAGCCAACACGTCCTGCACACACCTATCGCCACTACATGCCTCCTCGTTCACCGCGGGGAACCGGTGATGCTCTTGTCGCCGTCCGGGACCTCCCAGACGTGCGCAAACACCTGAGCTTCGCCCATCGCCGCATGGCCTACGAAACGCTTCTTAGCGCCGCCATTGATGGTGTGCTGCCACGTGGTGCTCTCACCGAGCTTGCACAAAAGTTTCGCAGACATCCGCGAACGATAACACGTCTGTAGACGCAAGCGCGTCTCTCGCTCCGCGACGGCTACCGTGCCGCCAATGTTGCTACAAAAACCAAAGGTAATTCTCTCAAAACTTATATATATTGGTTTACACAATTATTGATATATGGGGATGTACTTTTCTAGGGAATTCCGGACATCATGTGCTACACGCTTGCAAAGACTTTCGTAACTCTTCAAAAAGTTATGGAATTGTCCATTGAAATACATGGCAGCAACGAGTATAAGCTCCCTCACATGAAGAAGGACGCTCTCATTGCAGACTTTGCATCGTATAATGTCGAGTT